GTGTGTGTGTGTGTTTGTAAAGGCAGCCCTGCACAGGTTCTGTCCACTACTGTGTGGGAATACAGACTTAGTAATGCCAGATCTTATGATTTTAAAAAAGCTGGAAATTGGGGGTATTGACATGAAATCTCCCAATTTTTCAATTACTTTCAACTAATTTAAAATTTTTTGAGTCCTGGCTGGTGTGGCTCAGTTGACTGAGCATTGTCCTGTGCACCAAAAGGTCACCAGTTCGATTCCCTGCCAGAGCACATGCTCAGGTTGTGGGTTCAGCCCCTGGTCGGGGTGCATATGGGAGGCAACCGACTGATGTTTCTCTCCCTCTCCCTCTTGCTCTCTGGACCTTCCTCTCTCTCTAAAAAATCAATTAAAAACATGCTAAAAAATGTTTTTTGAAATATTTCATTCCAAACAAAATACATGTGAGCCAAACCTATACCAGATCACCCGCCACCTCTAAAGTATGGAGTTGCTGGTTTAATTACATCTGCTTAATTCCTTTCACTTACAATCTGCTTGCCGCCAACTGAGGTAGTCCTTTAAGGTCTGGTTGTTAGGATACACCACAACTCTTCCATCAAAGCCTGGGGGATACAGAAGGGGCTGGTCTTCAAAGTAATCCCGCCAATAAAACACGTAGCTGGAGGCGAACTGGGAGGCCACATGAGTCATGAACTTACTTCCAAGTGTAAGGCACGGTGGGTGGAGCAAGAAAAGAGAAAAGACATGTCGTTAACTCAACACTGTGATAGGGCCTGTGGGTGTAACAGAGAGATTACACAAACTGGCCAGCAAACCTAGAGATAAAATATGTTGGGACAAGAAAAACTATTTTAATATTTCAGTTACATATTTGAAATGTAGCCTGCCTCTCCTTCTAGTCCTTTAAGTAATTTACTAATACCAACTTTTTTTTTCTGTAGGATGTAATGTGAGTGTATGGTTCAAGAGGTTTTTTTTAAGTCTTGAAAGGAGAGGAACCATTGTTGTAAAAACATGCCAATTTATTATATGATTTGTTTCCTGTAAGAGTATAAAATACTCAAATATGAGATTTGTCTATTTTGTACTGAAGTTCTCCTTCATTTATGGTTTAAGCAACATTGCAATGCCTCTATAAAGTGTCTGTCACTGACTAAGCCAGCCTATGAATACTAATATTATATTCCATGGTCTATTTTTCTAGTCTTAAATGTTCAATGCCAACTCAAACTAGAGCAATGGTTCTCAACCTTCGTAATTTAAGCATAGTGTTTAATCACTAAATCAATATGTAATTATATATGTGTTTTCTGATTGTCTTAGGCGACCCCTGTGAAAGCATCGTTCGACCCCCAAAGGGGGTCTCGACCCACAGGTTGAGAACCACTGGCCTAGAGGATAAAGTGATAGGGAATGGAGTGGAAAGAATCAGATGAAGAGGGATATGGAATGCTCAGATATCAGATGAAGTACAACAGTCCAAACAGAAATATACAAACATTCTGCAATTGCAAATACTGCAGACATATTGTGGTCTGTGAGTCTGTGTTTAAGAAAAGCAGAAACCAGATGCTGATAAGAAATGTTCTGATGGAGCTGGGCTATGGAATTACCTGGCTCTTCTTTTAAACCAATTGCTTTTCCGCTTGAACACAAAGCTGTACTCATCACTCTGTCCATATGCAATCACAATATCCTCCAGTTCTTCCATTACAGTCTGGGCACATTTGGTCATTAGGTGGAGAGCACGGATGTCATTAGGTTTTGCAAAGCTGTGCTTCTCAGAAAACCTTCATAAAAGAAAGAGGGAAAGGGACATGAATGTAAGAGAGCTTGTCATTAACACTACGGATCAAAGAGGCTGTTCAAAGAGGAAGGTACTGAAATAGTACTGTGAGTCCAAACATTCCACTAGCCACAACCTAATTAATTCCCTTAGATTTCAGGTTTTTCTTGTCCTGAGCAACAGAGAAAAGGGGACATAACTGCTAAGCCTCAATTCCCTTTTCTATAAAACTAGAGGCTCAGTGCACAAAATTCAAGCATGGGTAGGGTCCCTAGGCCTGGCCGGTGATCAGGGCCGATCCGTGGGGCAACTGTCGGGGTTATCGGGGCCCCCCTGCTGGTACATGCCTTGCCCACTTGCCAGCCTTGCCCCCGCCACCAGTCACCTCCCTCTGTGGGGCAACTGGCAGGGTGATTGTCCTGTCCCCCCCACCATGGCACCTGGGGGCAGCTCCTGTGTTGTGTGTCTGCCCCCCTGGTGGTCAGTGCACATCATAGCAACCAGTAGTTCCACCAGTTATTCCACCTTTGGTGGACTTGATTAGGCTTTTATTATATAGGATGGAGATATCTTTACTTAATAGAATTGTCCTGACTATTGGGGGAAGATAACAAATGTAATTATGCCTGGCTCCCTAGAAGTGTTCAATAAATGTTAGTTATAATCATTATTAAAATAGCACTTTAAAAAATTGACTTGTTATATTTCTGCCTTTTTTATGACTTTATTTTCTCCTGAGCCCTGACCATGTGGCCTGTTACTGACAGTGAAAGAACATACTGTAAGAGTTGCCCACAGCAAGGCCTACATGGGCCTCAGAACAGTCAGCACTCTTAACAAAATAGCTGGGCAATTGGCTGAAGAGCTGAAGTACTGTGCCCGAGAGTGACTTTTTTCCCACAAGGTCCTTACCAACAGGTCTATGCTCGCATAAAACCCAGCCCGGCTTCTAATCCGGGAGCACCCAGTCCCATTGAACTACCCAGAGAACTGGATTCCAAGCTCGCCTTAGCCCGCACATAGAGCGATGCTCAAAGCCGCGAGCTCATTGGCTGTCGCGTTACCTCGGTAACAACGAGCCGGCGCCCGCGATCGCTGGTGTAGGATTTACCCGGAAGCGCCAAGGCCCGCGGCCCAGGGCTGAGCTCACTCACCGATGGAAATTCCTGCCGTCCAGCCGCACCACCACCCAGCAGTGGGGCAGGCAGGTGTCGTCAGTCTCGAAGTCCCGCACGTACTCGAACTTGCTCTTTGCCATGGTCACCCCCAATTTCAGGCACCGTTTCAGAGTGACGGAAGTGGAAGCCAGGCAATCGCGAACCTTCACGTTACAAGAGATCCACATTCCCGCCTCCACCCGCCACGCGGAGGGTGAAAAACCAGAGAGCCCCGCCCCGGAAGTCCCATGTCTCTTTGTGTGTGGCCGCTCTAGCCCTAACGGAGGTCGGCATCTTTCTCGCCTCTCCTTGTAGTCCTCAAACCACTTCCGGGTCTGGAAGGAGGGTTTCAGCCTTCCCTTTGCGAGTCGACCCGGCGTGGCGGGCTTTTCTCCCATCCTACAGCAAATCACTGACGAAGTTTATAAAAATTTCCATCTAAGTTTAAAGTTTTGTGATTTTTTTCTTTCTAAATAGAATTTATTTATTTGTTGTACAATATGTAAAATATAGAGATAAATATAATTAAGAAAATTAATACTTTCTATCTTCCCTCCCCATGTCAAAGTGTGGAAATTCCTTTTAGTCTATTTTCTCTTTGTTTACACAGGGAACACACAAAATTGTAATTAAACATAGTGACAATGAGCCCTGACTGGTTTGGCTCAGTGGATAGAGCGTAGGCCTGTGGACTGAAGCGTCCCAGGTTCAATTCCAGTCAAGGGCATGTACCTTGGTTGTGGGCACAACCCCAGTGGGGGGTGTACAGGAGGCAGCTGGTCGATGTTTCTCATAGATGTTTCTAACTATCCCTCTCCCTTCCTCTCTGTAAAAAATCAATAAAATATATTTTTAAAAATAATGACAATGAAACCCTACTATTTGTATTTTGTTTTTTGATTTATATAGCTCTTTTGAATTCATTACTTACATTATTGTTTTTATCCTCAAGAAAATTATTCATACAATATAAAAGGATATACTAGTATGGTGAAAAGTCTCTTGCTAATTCCTAACTCCCTACTTTTAGGCAATTACTTTTACCAGTTTCTTGTATATTCATCCAGGGAAAGATATAGATAGATAGATGATCTAGATGAGTACATATTATATATAAATAAAATTTATAATAATAAAAGCATAATATGCTAATTAGACCAGACAGCCAAACAACCTTCCGGACATCCTTCCGGATGATCTCCTGGATGTCCTTACGGATGAAGCGGGGCTGAAGGGCCAGCCGAGGCCCAGGGCTTCTCAAGGGCTGAGCCCCTTGCACGAATTTCGTGCATGGGGCCTCTAGTATATACACTGAGTGGCCAGATTATTATGACCACCCCATCAGTACTTCGTTAGGCCACCT